TTATTCAATTATTTTTAAGAAGGAAATTAAAGAAAACGGTTTTTTCATCACTCAATGTTTGTACTTTTAGTCACGTGGACAATGCCACTTACTAACTTCTGATTTTTTGCAACACCATTCTTGATATCATCAAGAATCAAACGCATTACATTCGGGTGTTAAAAGCTCAAGTTACCTCAGTTTTTAAAATTCAGCAAATAAGTAATAAGCGTGCAAGGTCGGTACATATCGTACATCAAACAATTTTTCAATCATACTTTTTTTAATAGTAATCTATTAATAATTAGGTTTATCAACTAAAATTTCTTACAAATTTTTATCAATTTTACAGGTGAAGGTTTGCGTCAAAAAAATTACAATTTTAATTTCTGGCTAAAATTACACTTGTAAGATTTATTTAGTTATTTTTTAAAAGGAAATTAATGAAAAGAGTTTTCCATCAATCAATGTTTGTACTCCAGCTGTACTTTTAATCACGTGGACAATGTCACGACGAACATCTGATTTTTTTGTAACACCTTTCTTGATATCATTATTACAGGTTCACTGTATTCGGCTCAAAGGACTAAAAGGGTTCAAAAATTTCCCGAAAATACACTTATTGTTATAGCGCCTGGGAAGATACAGTAAAATATTTAGATCGCTCTACTTATTATATACCTAATGCTCATCAGAATAATAGATAATATTATCATATATATTACATTAAACAATTAACAGAAAACAAACGCTACTAATTTTTTACAAACACACCTCCCGTCATTGTACTATACAAAAGGAGCCAAGGACCTTTCTCTTTCTGAAATTATTTTATCTTTAATTTACTGAAGTACTGAAGTGCACTATAAATATATATTTATTTTCGATAAATAAAATCGGTAAGTAGTCGTTAACTTAATTATCGGAGCTGATATGAACGGGAGGGAACTCGGCTAGTACCCGAGGGTAATTCGACATCTATATTTTAACCAAAACTACCTGCGGGAGGGAATTCGGCATCACCGACCCGGCAGAAACTTACTTTATTGTCATAAAAATGATGCTTCCATCACGGGTGCGGCTGGAATTACTGTTTTATTTAAATTTTATGTAAAGAATCTGCATGATTTTATTATTTACATTTAATAATGTGTTTCACAATAAAACATTTACGAATTACGTAATACAGGGTACCTGATTTAAATACATTATTATGCGTATTATAAATTATATAACTCCATCTGCATAAATTAATAATAAATCACTTAATTTATCCTAAGCATAAGTAGCGTTTGATGAGTTAACAAGTGGAATTATTTAATAAAACCGTTTTATTTTTAAAGGGGGAAGGCATGGGAGGACGCATTTTTGGACACCGTCGGGAAAGCGCAAGATGATGGCGTTTTCAAACATATTCGAATTGCCCGATTTGCTTCCAGAACATTGGACGTCGAAATGGAAAGAAATACGAGAACTGTCATTCCTTATTTTACGTCAACATTTCTTGTGATGGCCGTTTTTTCAATAGGTTAGATAATATTTGTTTAACTACGAACTCTATTCTATTTTAACACGACCCATTTAAATTTTTGAAAAATACGTATTCAGCAAATATTTGAATGTAATTTACTAAAATTTTCTTCTTTGTTTAAAGTAACAAAAAAAAACTAAGTAAAGCAATTTTTTACAATACCTACACATAGAAAGTTACATAACAATATCAATCTTCAAGTATAGACTGATAAATGTACAGAGTGTTCCACCAAATAAAATACGAAATATTAAAGGCATAACTTTTTTTGTTGTTGGTTCAACGTTTATTATTTCGGGTGTTTTCTAAGAAGTTGCACTATTTTCAATCATTACAAATAGTTTTTTTGTATTTTTTATAAGTGATGAATTTGGTTCTTTAAATATTTAATCGAATATATTTTGGAAAAATATTTATCATCCTCTAATTGTAAGCAAATACTTATTGTTTAAAGAACTGAATTTTCTTCGTTGTTTATACTGAGAAACAACTAAAATAATTTTTTAGTTACATAATAATTATTCAAATATTGTTTTCAGTTTTCTTATTTGTCTTAGCAAAACAACTGTCAGTAAGAAATTGATAAAAATTGATCGTATTGTAAAAAGTATATACCTGGATTATAGAAAGGACTATTTTTTGATAGATGTTATTTAAAATTTTTAATTTTTAAAATAAAAGGTGTATATTAAGTCTAAAAGGTTTACCAAAACGCAATAGATTGAATTATCGCGATTCTTTTTTAGATATTTTGTTTTATGGAATTTTAACTAATTTTACCTATGAAAATTCATAAATATAAATAATTGGCTGTGATTTTCATGCTATTATTTTTATAAGAAAATATTACTACTTGCTGTCGGTAGATTAATCTATCTATAGTGGGCCACTTTGTACATATATTAATAACTTACGACAAGCTGCTTCAATGAATTATTATTCATTTCAATTTTTAACCGTCTAAAATAGTAACTAATTGATTTAAAATTAATTGTTAATTTATTATGTAATTAAAACCAGGATATTTTAGAAGTTTTTCGTTTGATATCTGTAATGAGTTTTAAAACTTCGAAAGTATCAGAAATCCATTAAGAATTATTTTTTTAATAAACAACTTAATTTTACCGCGCTAGAGTTAATTAAAAACAAAAACCAATGAGATTTAAATGAATAGGAAACAAATACTATCCTTTTTTTATCGAGTACAGTTACCTGCATGATGACCGATTGGGTTCGGTCGAAACCTTGGCTAGGACTTCTGGGCAACATCAGCGCCCTTATGGCAACGGCATCTGGTTTTGGAACCTGCATGTATTTAGGTGTGGATTTTATTGGATTAAATTTGGCCGCACCGTTTCTCATGATAGGTAAGATCGATAATACTTTCTCCAATTTTTTTTGGTCTCTACAACACACAATAAACGAAACCCTTTATAAAATAATTCGTGTTTGTCTGTAATAACGTCATATACAGGGCGGCTAGTAATTGCTCGTAGATATTCCTCTCAGAAGAAGAAACTGTCACTAATTTGGAATGATTTCACATCTATCATTTGGAGTCGGAAATGCACCATTTTAGAGAAAACTACTTCCTTTTTGTTGTTACAAAAATTCAAATTTTAGTTTTTTCTATGATCTGATAGCCTACGAATTAGCCAAAACGGTGAATTTCCGACTCCCAAGTGATAGAAGTTAAGTCATTCCTAATTGGTGATAGTTTCTTCTCCCGAGAAGAACACAAGCAATTTCCAGTCACCCTGTACTATTGGAAAATATGACGAAAATCCTTGATCTTGTTTGTTTCTATAGAAATTAATTTTACGAATTTATAATTCCATTTAGGGTCAACTGCGATAAACACACAACGCAGAAATGTCCACTTTGAAAGTCCATTCTAAATTCTGATAAAAATTTTTGAAATCGAATGAGTGGTTTCGGAGATTATCTCCTATATCCAAAATTACACACTACTTCTTTGTAATACAGTAGAACCTCTTTAAGTCGAACTTCTATAAGTCGAAAAGCTCAAAAACTCGAAAAATTGTTTTGTTTCCTTTCCTTCAAGCCCCAAAACCTCCATCACTCTAAATCTCAACCCTTTATTAGTCGAAATAATGAGCGAGTACCTGCAAGCCATTTTGGTACATATTTTCCCTCAAAAAATTAAATTGGATCTCTGCATCTCGAACATAGCAATGTTCTATAAAATAATTCGAAGTGATCTGTATTCTGTCGAAACTGCCAGACCCGGATCACGATTTCGATCTTTTTGGATCTCATCAGCGCGTCGCAAGCAGCTCCGACAGAACACAGACCAACTTTTACCTGCTGTGTTGCGTGCGTTTTAGAAAATACCACAAATGGCGCGGTAAACGCCATCTGTAGTACGATGCTACATTTTAGGATTACGTATGCTCCAAAGTTGGTTTGAATTGAAATTCGATTGAAACTTATTACGTCTACACTTCCAGGAAAACTAAATTATCGACTTTAAGGATTTGCCGACAATGTAAATACACTAAGTACGAATAAATCTTGACCTCTACAACTCGAACCAAAATCCGCCATTAGTCGAAAAGTTTATAACTCGAATTTTTTTGGCGTCTGTCTTGATTTTTGAGTTATAGAGGATAGAGGTTCTACTGTATTATAATACAGATTGCTCCGTTAAAAAAAGGTGGACCGTTTCGTTACATAGGGTGAAATAATATTACGGTTTTTTGTTTTTCCTTTCAGCGATTGGAATCGATGATACTTTCGTAATGTTGGCAGCGTGGAGGAGAACATCGATAAAAGATCCAGTTCCGGAAAGAATGGCAAAAATGTTGAGTGAAGCGGCTGTTTCTATTACGATTACATCAGTCACTGACGTATTAAGTTTTATCATCGGGACACTTAATCCTTTTCCATCAATCCAAATATTCTGCATATACTCCTGTAAGTTGTTTATTTATTTATTTTTTTATACTCCTTATGGCGTACTGAGAATAAAATTTTAATCCAAAGATGAAGATGACGTCTTCAAAATGATTATGGAATAGTTTCTTAAACGAAATTCTCATGCAAGTTTTCTTATAATTGAAGAAGTCTCTTAATAGGTCAGAAACAAACCAATTTTCATACCAGATTCGAGGTGACTAACTTTAAGCATCTTTACACTGCACAAATTAAGTATTTACGAAGCTGGAGAAGACCAAAACGTTTTTTTTTAAGATTTCGACTTGCAAGTCGAAATTTCACGAAAGTATACGCCTACGACAACATTCACTTCGGTGGTATTGTCTTTACCTACTCTAAAATTATGATTCCAACCTAATTGAACTTCAAGTTTTCATTGGATTGATTGTAATCATAAGGTTACAGTAGGTAAAGGCAACACAAACGAAAGGAGTGTCATAGTACTGTTGTCCTTTCTTAAAATTGCATTAGCTTAGGTTTGAATTGAGTTACATCAGATTGCAATAAGTATTTCTGAAAAAAATTAAAATAATTATATGTATGGTACACTTGAAATACTTAATTTGTCTATTAACACATTTAGTTGAAAACTGGTGATAAAATGTAATAAAGGAAAGAGAACTAGGTAAATGCGCCTTGGACTGGAGATGTAAACTTTTTTAACTCGTATTTAACTATTTTAAGTAGTTATTGTTTAAATGCAGGATGTGAGTTATATTAGAGACAAATTACGGCTTACATAAAAGCATTTTCTAGATAAACCCGGTAATCAAAAATGTCCAAAAGCCTAAGTAAGTTACTATGTAAAGTAACACAATACTTTAAAACGACCTCCTCATTCAAAAGGATTTTTATTTTATATTACATACGACATGAAACTGAAAATTGAGAAACGTTTCGATTAATAAAGCTTTATACTCCTTATGAATCTATCATGTTAAGTTGTTAAATTATCTAAAATAATAATCAACAACAATAAGTTTAGATATTCCTAAAATGATGCTAATTTCTAACCTTCAAGATAGTTTAGTTTTTAGTGTGGGCTATACTTAAATTTTAAGGTCAATTACAACCTCTTATAGTAATAATTTAAAATGAAAATAATACTGTTCTTGATATTATTTATGCATTTCCTTATAATTTAACAATTAAGCATGATAGATTGATAAGGGTCACAAAGCTTTCGTGACCTAAACGTCTCTCAATTCATATGTAGCATCCAATAAAAAACCTTCAAATTCTTCAGTTATAACACACATTTCATTGATAATAATTTGTTATCCTTTTACTATTTAAAGTGTCTAACAAAAAAATTTCTCTAAGCCTGTAATACAGTAATAAAAAATTTCACCAATAGTAAGTATCTATAACATAGATTATTGGTGAAAAGTAATTTTATGTATTGTGTATGATATTAAAATTCAATTTTTTATACAGAAATTTAATAATATTCATAAGAAAATGTCGAAAATAGCAAGAACATTTTTACTAAATTATTATGACAGTATTGCATCTACACATTGTGCGGATGTCGTCGTATCTTCAAAATAGCAATTGTCTCTTCACTAGGTCACTGTCATAACACGACCTTGCTTCACTAACTGCGTCCTCGAAAGGAACTCGATATACCCGGATGTATTATGTCTCACTATCCTGTAAACTGTGAAACGTTTAAACTCATTATTATTATTGTTAACATGAAATTCGATTAAAATGAATGTTTATTTGCCGTGAAAACACTTTGTTACAAATTAAACTTTCATTCAAGTAAACACAAGCAATTAAAACAGTAACAGTTTAATCGTATAACTTGTGTTATAAGGAATAAAACAGTTAGACGTGTTATAAACTCATTAATACAAATATATATAATATCATCTGATTTAATAATGCCTTGTAAACTGTGTTTTTCCAGTACAGAAGTTTTTTTATTCTGCTTTCCTTAAAAGTTAGATTTTATATTAAAAAATAATCCATTAAAATATCTTGATTATCTTTTATTTAATCAGTATAGTATGGAGTCCATTTTTTATATCAATCAATTTTTATTAGTTTCTCATTATCGCATTTCCCCAAAACTAGAACAGTCCACATCCTTAACTATTTGCGAAGAGTAATCTAATCTAGGTCTAGCTCTACTCCTCTTAACTCCAGTTTCTGCCTCTAATATGTTTCTGACTAGACCTTCATGCCTGAGAAGATGTCCTACTAACCTATCTCGCCTATTTCTTATAGACTTCCATAGAGTCCTCTTTCTCCTGTTCTGCCGATAAAGAAATTCCTTGTGCCTTCCCATCTTCAATATACAGGATGAGCAACTAAGGACGAATTGGTCTGAATATACAGGGTATTTCTTATTTATGTAGCAAGCTTTTGAAAGCATTTACAAAGATGAAGTTTTTCGTTTTGTTTTCGAATGGAATAGTCCATCATTTCCACATATTAATACTATGAAATTTAGATATTTAGTTAGGCCCATGAGATTTTGAACGACCTCTAAAAACGCGCTTATAAAATTATATGTGATAATACAAATTAAATTAAATTTTCTAAATGTGCTATTTTTTTAATTCTTTTGTTACAGGTGCAGCAGCAATTTTCACCTTCGTATGGCACCTGACGTTCTTTGCAGCTTGCATGGCCATCTCGGGTTATTGTGAACAGAAAAATTTACATTCTGTCGTCTGCGTGAAAGTAGAACCCGTTTCAAAGTCCCGTAAGTCCCTACAACTTCTTATTACAATTTTTTTATGCGCCATTACCGTTACGACAAAAGTACATATTTGCATACAGATTGTAGGTTGACAGAAACTGATCTAGAAAGGAAGACGATGGTCTTTTGAATTTGAAGGGTTTTACAATAATAATTAATAAACTTTACAACCCTTTTATTGGTTCAATTTCTACGTACAGTTTAAAACATTTTTTTAACCCCTTAAATATTGTTTAGCGCTCTAGTTATACACTTAGTTATTTTTAGGGTTCCGTATGCCCGAATAAAAAACGGAACCCTTATATTCTTAGAGGATCATTCGTGTGTCTGTCAGTTTTTTTAATACCTAGCACTCTTTTGGAAAAAATGTGCTGGATAATTCCTTTCCTTTTCAGGTATTAAACAAATAAATAACGATTGTTTTTACGGTTAATAAAAAATACTATAGGAAGTAAAATTCAATGAATTTTATTTTTACTTCATAGATGAGTAACTATAATAGAAAAGGAATTGCATGCCTCCAATTTGAATCCAGAAGTAATGAATTTATCGCTAATGTGATCTCTTTAATTAGTTGCTTGTAAAAAAGAAAAGAACGTATTAAAGTAACCGCTATTCATAACTACATGCTTATATAAACACAAACAAATACCCACAACGTTCTCTTACCTAACCAGAAAGCTAAAATACAATCTCTAACAAAAGGATCTCCCAAATATTTGCAAACTTTTATATTTATATTTAACAAAATTTTATTAATAAATACACCATTTATAGCTGAAGGTGTTGAAATATTAAATAAAAATTAGACACATAAAAACAGATAATACGTAAATAAGTGCACAAAAATAATACAATTAATACCAAAATTGAAAAGAAAGAATAAAGAGTGTGTCCTAAGAAGTGCTACAATGAGATATTTTTCTATTCCATGATTAGGTAACGTCAAACTTTGATGATCGAGATGTTCGACATTCTTATAGATTGATAGATTGTAACATTATTCATAATATGAATCTTTTAAAAACGAAAAAATTTTAGTAAAAATATTAAAATTATGTAGACATTAATGTGATATTTCAATTCAGCATGCTCTAATTCGTCAGAATTAAGTCTAATTATATGTTGGAAAAAAGTTGGTCATGTTTGGCGCCCCCTAGTGGAAAAAATAGACATAGAATTGAAAAACGTCTTCTTGAAACATTATTATCCGTCTATTAATTTCTGCAATAATCTCAGAAGAATGAATTTGATTTAGAGTATTTTTTCTTCTTTACTAAAATTTTCAGCTTGACGCTTGATTTCTGCAGTATGTACAGGTACCAAAAATTTTGTCAAACATAATGTTTTGTATTCATTAAATGGTATTTAAGCGCATAAAAAATTAATTATTAATTAAAAGTTAAAAACTATATGAGCGACTGCCTTTCTAGTATATCTCTACTCAGGTTTTCCGTCTATCGCATCGTTGATGTCTCCAACGTATACACTTAAATAAATCGTAAACTAAAGCAGTTCGCGAAAACTTTTTCCTACAAAAGTTGTTCTTTTACTCAATAACTATATTTCTGTAAAATAATTGTTAACATATATGTGACTTTTCAATCGAAATAAGCCATTTTTGGCTCGAAGAGTCGAGTGTATCTACTAATAACTATGACTTGACTATTGCGCTCTGATGAAAAGGAGCGACTTGGAACAGACCTATCAATTATTTGTCTAAAAAACGACAGTAGAGATTTAAATGATGCATTACCCTTTTTGAAATATACAACACAAAATAAATTAGACAAAACATTAAGAGAAACGAAAAAGAAGCTGAAAGGTGATTTTTAGCATTAAACAGGATGAAGGCCTTCTTCCAAAACTCGATATCTCAAGATTGTTTGATAGATCAATCGGTGCCTTCTCAAAATTTGAATGGGCTCAACTAGTCGTTTTATCATTATACGTATGAGGCCTGTTCAAAAAGTATCGCGAAATTTGAATTTCCGCTGGTTAGGTATATTCATTTTTCGATTTTTTGTGGCGTTATGTTGCTACACATGTCTCTCACTTATATCGACAAGTTCGGCTATGTTCAATATTCAGTTAATTTTTGACAGCTGCTTTGTTTGCACGTGTTTTGGCTCGTCTTCGATTTTTGCCTATTCCAAAAAATGGATCAAAGAATCTGTATCAAATTTTGTGTGAAAACCAAAATTAAGTGCGCGGACGCATTCGAAATGTTGACTGTGGTATATGGTAAAGCTTTAAAGCTATAAAATTGTATTGGCCAATCGTCGAATCATCGTTAGAGAAGCTGCTAGGAACCTAAACATATCGATTGGCTCCCGCTAATGAATTGGACATGAGACTCTGTCCGCGACGATCCAAATTTACTCCAGAGGGTCATAACTGGTGACGAATCATGGGTTTATAGTTATGATGTGGAAACCAAAGCTCAATCATCCCAATGGAAGCTGCCTTAGAAGCCAAGACCGAAAAAAGCGCGCCAAGTTAAGTCGAATATGAAGGTTTTGCTTACAGTATTCTTTCGTGGGGGCGTGGTGCATCATGTCAGGGTAGAACGGTCAATAAGGAGTATTACCTGCATGTTATGCGTAATTTGCGCGAAGCAATCTGCCAGAAACGCCCGGATTTGTGCAAGAACGAAAATTGACTTCGCACCATGATAACGCCCCTGCTCACACATCGTTGTTTGTGCGCGAATTATTGGTCAAAAATAGTGTCCGACCGAAAGTTCGGTTTCGGCTTCGGTCGAGTTTCGGCAAAAAAAACGAGTTTCGGTTTAGTTTCGGATTCGGCGGCAAACCTGCCGAAACTACGACCGAAACCGAAACTGCGTTCGGGAGTTCTCGCGCTCTGCTCGGTCATGTTCGGCGCGTTAAATTCCATCCAAGCGAAGTAGATTAATAGACATTTCGCATCTTCAAAAGAAAAATGAGTCCAGTCTACTATAGTTACTCAAATAAACATCTCACCTATTTTATGTATTTTTAAGTCGCAATTAAAGTATTTCCTTAAATGAGGGGTTGTTATGTTGATTTTGATTTGATTATCAATAAGTGAAAATGTCAAAGACTGCAGAGCTATGTGATTTAAAGATAAAAAAATAATTATAATAACGTTTTCTTTATTTTTCTCTCAAAACATGATCCTTATAAGGAAGTTTCGGTTTCGGCCGAAACTGAGACCGTTGCCGAAATTCGGTTTCGGTTTCGGTCGTAAAAACCAGTTTCGGTCGGACACTAGTCAAAAACAATACACTAATAATATCACAGCCAACGTATACCCCATATCTCGCCCCTGGGACTTTTTCTTGTTCCCGAAACTAAAGAGGCCCATAAAAAGACAACGCTACGCTGCGATTAAGGAAATAAAGACGGTATCGAAAGAGGAGCTGAACAAGATCACAAAAATCTGAAGTGTTTCGCGCTACTTTTTGAACAGATCTCCTAAGTTGAAAAAACTTTCACGCGGGACTGTATTTTCGTACGATCATGACTTGACCTTTCTCCAGTTTTGATGTTTACTTTCGATTCAAAACAGAATAACCATTAAGTGACCCAAATCAGTATTTCGGGTGGTCGTACCTATCTGTACATGTGTCTGATGCGGCGATTCTGTCCTTTTTAATGATTACGTGTTATAGGAAGTGTATTAGTGTTATTTTCTAGCACCACCAAAACGTTGCATAAATCTTCTTAAGAAACTGGGTACGTGATTTGGAAAGTGTTTTTGTGTGCAGATAATATGTGTGATTGCTTTAGAAAATAACTGTGAGCACAACTGATTAATGGCGTAAAAAGTTTTATATTGACCAACGAAATTTTACTAGGTGCTTATTCATATCTCGGTAACGAACTATGAAGGTACTTCCCTGTTTGTACCATTATAAAATAGTATATAACGGTGTGGTACACCGATTTATTTATTACGTAATAGATATTCTTTTTAGTGTGAAATGGCTAGTTAAATGCAGAGTTTTGAAAGTTCATTTACTTAACAATACCCATGAGAATGAGATACAGGGGTAGAAGGGTGATATCTGTAGTATAGTATGTAGTAAAGAGCAGCATAGTAGATAGGTAAATATTAGAAAAGGAATTAGATTTATTAATCTGTATATCGAAAATTAATATTGTTAAAAGCAGAGCATCTTTATAGGTAGACATATAGGGACAAAAGATTTTAATTTTAGCATTGAGCAAAGATGGTGTGAAAATTAATACAAACAAGCCGTCGACTCTGTGCCTCGCATCACTGATGCGACCCTTAAGCGTGCAACCCTTAAGATCCACACAAANTAGTTTAATATGAAATATTATTCTGAAAATTCATTTCTTGAATTCTTTTTTGCCCACTACACATTTCCTCAAATTAATGAGGAAAAATTTGTTGCTGTTGTCACAACCCCGCCGGGAATCGAACCCGGGCTCTTTGGCTTACGCGCCAATGCTTTAGTTATTTTTGTTTATTTCTGTTGAAGTATTATGTAAGCAGAAATACTTGCATTTAAAATGCAAATACAAAATAAAAAATACTTATTTTTATCTTGCATTTAAATACTTTTTTGAGAAAAGCGTTTTGTATTTTATTTGAAATAGTTTTCCAAACGTATTTTCTATTTGTAAAAAGCAAAATACTTTTTTGTCGTTAAATGATTTGCTAGTATCACTGATCAAACATTATAGAATGAAAATTACTCATATTGATCATTTAAGGTATTATAACCTTAAAACGAAGACTAAAACACTTTCCATGAATGCCTTCTAATTCTTTAACTGAACAAAACCCCAAAAATCCTAAACTCCTACAAGATATTGTGGTGTTCTAATAAATGCGTGTAATCCAAATTAAAATAAAATTAAATAGGTACTTCAAAAAAGTATTTAATTGAATAAAGTACTATGAAAATACGTATTTTGCGTTTAGCATTTAAACTACGAAATCTATTTTGTATTTTACATTTGAAATAACAACTCAAAAAACTACTTGCATTTTGTATTTAAATACATTTAAAAAACCATTTCGCACATCTCCAGCTATTACACAATTATTTAATTAAATACTTTGTTCATCGCTGATAGTATACAGTACTATTTAAAGTACACTTCAACATGGTATTAAGAACACAAAGTACAAAAAAATACTCGTACGACACTGATACAGCAGATGAATGCGACGTTACAGTGTCGTATTTCCCTGCACGATCCTACCAGGGCCGCACTGTACTTTCAAATACGTTTTTCTGGAAAACGGTGAACTAAACTAAACATATACTTAATTTTCTTGTTTTATAATGCCCTGACGCCTACTGCAAGCTCACTACTTATCTCAGAAACACAAGGTATAACGAAAAAAAAATATGCTTGATCTCATGCATCTCGTTATAAATAAAAGGTTTCCTTTGTAATTTAAAATCCTCACTATACACATTTGACTAATTGTAGATTTAAATAGGTAGCTACTATTCCAGTCGTATTAATCAATGTAGTTTTTATTATAGAATTCGTTTAACTTTTACTCTTAAGTATATTAAGCAGATACTCAAGCGCTTTTTAAATTTTCCGGAAGTAAATTGTACCCATTCTATAAGAAGAAGTAAAATGGATTTAATTGATTGGACACACGCGCTCAAAAATTTGCATGTGATATAATTTATAAGTAATCTCATTGAATGGATGAAGTAAAAGTAGCTGTTTATTTATTCAGAAATGCCAATTTATTAGCGACGGGCGGCAGCATCCATTCAAAATTTTTTTGTTGATTCTGATAGTTAGGTACATGGCTACCGTTCACCAGAAAAGATAAATAGTCAGTGCATACATTATAGGATACAAAGTAAAATGTTTCTTTAGATGAATGTTCGTAAATCAGGCAACATTTATAAGTTTAATAAAAATTTATACATAGTTAGGATAACGGATGTAACTTTTAATAAAAAACCTATTACGACATTAAAGATGTAAGTGAATCTTAAAAACGGCTTTAAAAAGAACAACTTACGTTATAATTTGCCTTTTGTTAAATGTTAAAAACGATGCGAACGACTATACTTTTAATGTACTCACCTGAAAGCAGGTTTTCCGCTTGACGCACCGTTGATGTCTCCAATCTAAATTCTTAAATAAATCGTAAACTAAATCAGCTGGCGAAAAAGTTCTTTAACAAAAGTTGTTTTCTTACCCTAGAACAATATTTCTGTAAAGTAATGGTTGACATATGTGCGAAATTTCAGTTGAAGTAAACCATTTTTGAATCGAGAAACGTCTTAAGACGTATGTTTCTTAAAGTTTATGATTTAATTCTTGAATATTGGGCCTTAACAAGGACGGACTTATCCATTATTAATTTAAAAGAAGTGTTATAGACGTTTCAATTATTCACAAAAAAATTTTTTTTTTTAAACAACTAATAATTATATTATACCTATATGTGCGTCGTTTCTCTTGAAATAAGTCATTTTTCGGTCAAAAACCGTCTTGAACATTTTGCCTTGAAAATGAGCTTTTTTAGAACAGACCTATCTATTATTTATTTATTTAAAAAACCTATATTTTAGTGATGCATTAACCCTTTCGAAAATTAGAAAATATCAAAGTTTCTGCGTCAATACTCATGCCAGTATAAGTAGCTAAAAGAGGCTGTTTAGCTTTAAAAAAAATCGAAAACTTCTTCCAAAATTTGGTGTCCAAGATTATTTGACAGTTCGATCGATGTTTTTCATTGACGATCATTATATTAACTATTTTTTTTTATTAAATAATCAATACTTTGAATTGAAATTGTATTATAGTTATTGAATTGTTTTTCATTAAACATTTATGTTATTAGTGAATTTCTATTACTATGCATCAGCGAATAGGGACTACACAGTAGAAGAATTGTAGTGATAGCTATAGAACTGAGATAGTCTTAATGTGTTAACGAAATTGTGTTGCAATTAAAAGTAAGGAATCAACGGTTATCGGCAAGAAACTGTTGAAGAATTTAACTTAAAATTTTGGCAAATGTTACACGGAGAAAATAAATAATAATTTTTATGATAACGCAAATTACAAATGTCGATTGTAAATGACTGAATTTGCCGTAGAAATAATAAAGTTCGTGTAACGTGTAACGTGTAATAATTTCAATTTTGACATACCAATATCATTTAAAATACCTAGTAAATTTATTTCTGCTGGGATTTTATTTTTATTACGAAGCAACGGGCTAGTAGGATAAATTGTAAATATTGCTTTAATATTTAGGTAAATTTTCCTTTTTTATTTTCTCCGTCTAATCGAACTATAATGTATGAACAATAATTTTGGTATATCGTATGAGTACTTTGGGAGCTTTATCACATTTCTTATTCTAATTTTCTTCTTTATCAAATTCATATTAAAAAAACAGGCATTGAATTCCACCTATTCATTGTTTCGATCTGATAAATAAGAGATAATTTTATGCATTTGTGCAGCTTCTGTATCATTATTACGTATCTAAGAGTGAGTTCCCTGAGCGCAATAATATTTGTGTTTATACTTTCAGTCGAACGCTGTGTTTCGTAACACTTAGGTA